CCCCCTGGGATGACCCGAAGGCCTTTCTGGCCTCCTTCGAGCAGGTGGCCACAGCCTGTCGGTGGCCCAGAGGACAATGGACGGCCCGTCTCCGGCCAGCTCTGAGCGGAGGACTGGAAGAGGCCTTCCGGACCTTGGAAGACCGAGACCAAGGGGATTATGGGAAGGTCAAGGCGGCCATCTTGCGGAGGGAATCCCTAAGGTCGGAGATGCAACGCCAGCATTTTCGGCAGTTCTGCTGCCAGGAGGTGGGAGACCCCCGGAGGATCCACAGCCAACTCCAGGATCTTTGCCACCAGTGGCTGAAGCCGGAGAGACGCACCAAGGAGCAGATCCTGGAGCTGCTGATCCTGGAGCAGTTCCTGGTCAGCCTCCCACCGGACCTCCGGAGCTGGATCCAAGCCAGGAGGCCGGAGTCGTGTCTGCAGGCGGTGGCCCTGGTGGAGGACTTCCTTCGGAGCCAGGAACAGACCAGATCAGGGTCGTGGCAGGTGAAGTTTTAAGAAATAATTCGGAGGGTTTCTATTAAGGAATGTTATGGAGGTGGTTTGTGCACAGTCATGCGCCATTTCAAATTGTCAGCTTACTGCATTTATACTATATACAGTAGTCCTCGACTTACAACAGTTTGGTTAGGGACTGTTCAAAGCTACAGTGGTGCTTTAAAAAAAGTGACTTATTTTTCATACTTATCAGCTTTGCAGTCATATAATTGTGGTCACATAATGGAGGTTTTTAAGAAGAGATTGCATCACCATTTGTCTGAAGTGGTATAGGGCAGTGATGGAGAACGTTTTTCTGCTCGGGTGTCGAAAGGGTGTGCGATAGCGTGTGCGTGCCCACACCCATAATGCAATGCCCTCTTCTTGTGCATGCTGCACAACCCCTCGCGTGCTCTCCCCCACCCATGTGTGTAGGCCTCACTGAAGGCTCTGGGCTTCCGGTAGGTCCGTTGGGCCGTTTTTTACCATCCACAGGCTTTGGAGGCTTTCCTGAAGCCTGGGGAGGGCGAAAACGGTTCCACCACAAATCCGCGAAGCCCTTATCCGCGGAGACATAAGCGTGTCGCTAAAGCCGCGACATCATCACCGCGCATCATCACCGCCGCGACAACAGCGCGGCAACAGAAGGGCGCTTTA